AGACGTGTGCTCTTCCGATCTCCCCAAAACCCCAAAACCCCAAAACCCCATTATGCTTAAAGATAAGAATGTAGTGAGTAATATTTTCTTAAAATTATTATTTACTAAAAGCACAATCAGCAGCATACTGAGTTCAATCTCTACTTAAGTCTTCTTCTTAGTCTGATTCAAGCCATCAAGAGTTACTACCACTATTTTGGAAAGTAATCTTGAGTTGCAGTTGACTTTCATTAGGACCAGAAAAACCTTGAGTACAAACTGAACAAAGTAATTTGCTGGATTAGCGCGAAATCATCTCAGTTAAAGTTCCTGCTGTTTGATTCATATTCACAGAAAATATGTTCAAAGAGAGGACTGTAGGTTATGTTGTTGTAGGATGCTGTTAGTCATCATCAAGCTGTTGATTCTGTCATCAATTTACAGTTCATTTTCAAATTACGAATCGTCAAAGTCAGTATTGGTGCTTACTTTCTAGCTCCAACTCGATTCGTATTCAAAATACACATATTTGCCTCCTTGAGTTCCCTTGGGTAGCTGTTCGCCTGGCTCAATTTTCCTAAACCATGTATGATACTTCTTGTGGAACATCCAGTTCTTCTTTTTCAGCTCAATTGCCGCTAGATATTGCTGGTAAGTACCTTGCTAGTAATAGAAAGCAAAGAATAATGTATCTAGATCGAACCTTGAGAAATTTTCTTTCCTATTGAATAAAGGCACAGTAGGAAACATATTGTCCTCTTTAAGTGGAACTGGATGCTTTGCTTCTTGAACTTCCTAGTCCTATGGTTATGGTATATTCCTAAATGATGCTTCGAGCAGTTCAAGTACTTATAGCGTTTTATCTAGGTGTGGGTTGGCAGTTTATTACAGTCCACTCAATATACTACCACCCAAATCCTATTAAGTAGGCTACAAAATCGAGGTTGGTGTACTTATATCGACTAGTTAATGTTATAAGGTCTATTACTAAATTAGCTGACTAAATGGATTTGGTCCTGGAAATAGATTTCCTCCAAGAGGTTGTATTCCTAGAGGTGGAACCTTTTCTTCTTCCTCACTTATACTTTACTTTCCTTATTTAGTGATATTTACTGATTAGGTACTACTCTTATTAGCTTAGTTCTATTGACTATTGGTTTGTGAATTTACTCTTACCTAATTGGTACTTGGCTATTATTATTGAATTTGACTTTAGATTGGAGCAATCTTTGCTGCTGGTTGCTTTCTTTCCTCTATAGGCTGTTGGCTGAATTATTGTTGCTTTTACATATATGAGGCAAGGTAATCTCTTAAGACAGTGAATGATTTTTCTGGTTCAGCTGGTATCTCTGTATGAGTGAAAGCTGGTGCAATTTTATTTTAATCTTCTTCTTTGAAAACCTCATCACGCTTATGATTGTTATAAGGCAGGAAGTGAATTTCTCTCTCTTAGTTTTGTCCTATTTTCTCCTTAATTACGATGGCTAAATGCCAAGCACCTAAGTAATCTTGCGCATCTAAAATACTTCCAATAGTTGTATCTTCAACTCTACAATAACTCTTAATCACATCAGGATGCTTATCTAGATCAACCTTTTATCTTATTTCTAATGCCTTTTGCTAGTCCCTTAGCATTTACAGGTTATTCTGCTGTATTTTCTTATTATTTTCGACGATCTCCATTAGCTTAGCTATCTCAGTTTCCATTGGAAGCTTAATGCCTTCATCTTCAGTATTCAACATGTAGGTTCCAAGCAATACTTTGAGATTTCTGATCTGCAAAATATCAATGAATTCCAGTGAATTAGTGATCTCCTCTATCTTATCTTTCATCCTTTTCGCTTAAACTACTTTGGTATTCAGCTGCCCTTACTTCTCCTTTTGCTTTTTTGGAGGACCTTTCACTTTTTTATTACGTAGGGTCTCTAAATCTATCTCTAGCTTTGATGCTTGAGCCTTCAGGAATTCTAATACCTCTAAAAAGTATTCCTTGTCCTTTATTTTTTATTGATTCACTCTCTCTTCATTCATTTCATCTTCATTATTCTCATCATCATCGTCGTCATCATCCAGATCTTCATCTCCATAATCACTATCTAAATCACTATCGTCACTTCCTGTGTTGTTCTTATCATGTCCAGCTGTCTGCAATGCCTTTTTTGAAAATTACTTCTTTTTGAATTCCTTTTCGTGGGCTCTAAACCTCTCCATTTCCTATTATAATTACATTATTAATATCCATTTGATCGGTCATATTTGATCAGATTTTTGAAATACAAATTTTCAGAGATAAATTGTTCAGCTTCTTGCTAAGTGCAATTTGTAATGTAAATTGATTTTGAATCATTAACATTAGTATCTCCGACTTTGTATTGCTTTGCGTTATTTGACTTTTTAAATTAACTTACAATTTCAACTCTCCTCCTTGCTTCTTAAGGCTTAGATTTATCTTTGATGTCTGGATTATTCATTTGACCTCTGAAATAATCTCTTACTCTTTGTAATTTTTTAATCTCCTTTTTCATCTCAATTTCGTACTTCTCTTTCATGGATTAAGTGGGTGCGTTATTTAACTTGGCTTCTAAACTCTCTAGCTATTGAATACCCTATACGTAAGCATGATATGTCTGAGGAAGGGGTACCTCATCAATGGCCTTTAGATTTTTATCGAGTTCAGACTATAGCTTCCTCTGATTCTTCGCCATTTATAATAAGTAGCTTTGTTATTTCCTTATATAATTTGTGCCAATTTATTAAAATATTACTTTAAATGTTTCAATCCAATAACTTTATTTTACCTTTATCTTTATTTTTGCAATAAGCATATCGTGGGGTTTTGGGGTTTTGGGGTTTTGGGGTTTTGGGGTTTTGGGG